CCCATTGATGGTGATTGGCGCTGGATGTTGCTGTTGTTGTTGGTTGGTTGGGTGGTTATTTTCGTAACCAACCTCACCTAGATTACTAGCTCGCTAGTTTTCTAGCAGGTCCCAAGCCCGGATAAAAAGGGAGGGTTGGGGCGTGGTGCTAGCAGCTCCACCCCCAAAACATAACCGAATCGCTACAGAAACTTCAACGCACAAATAATGGTTAAAATAATTGATATGAATTAAAGTTCTGTCTGCAGTACAACATTTGAAAGTCAATCTAGGGTTCATTAGTGACTGAATGATATTACTGCCACTACTGCTGGATGAAATTGCCTGAAGTTCTAGTGGGAGGTCGAAACCAGTGGGGTCCACCCACCAAGTAAGGTGGGTGTGAGCAGAAATACTCGCCAGTGACACTAGCTGGCAGTGGTTCTGTATGTATCGTGAACTGACAGAAACCACAATTCATTAACCGATGCATTCAGGCCCAGTTGGTGCCGTCCTCTCTCTTTTTCTTTTTTCTTTCTTCCTACACGACCTGCCTCATTTAAACGAAACTAACTTTATCAAATGGACGGATGATCTGACTGTATCACTGCCTATCACTTCCGAGTCTGACTGCTCCAAACTTAATAGCTTTCTGTTGGACATCAGCAAGTGGTCTAAGTCAGATGGCCCTATGTTAAATCCTTCCAAATGTCAGGCAGTTAACTTTTCTTTCAAGGATCGACATGACATACATGAACTAGATAGTTCCTATGATGCATGTAGCATAGATGGCACTGAAAGTGAAATTAAGTCAAGCAGCATTAAATACCTTGGATTAGTTCTTTCCTCTGACCTTTAATGGTCATCCCACATCTTATCAATCTCTAATAAAATGTTTCGTCTTACCTTCTACATTAAAAAGTTAAGACCATCAGGTATCAACCAACGTTTACTTCCGCAGTTTCGTAAAATCTTGTATTTCACCTAATGTACTCTATTGCTTCCCATTAATCTTTTCTGGGTTTCTCAAAAAAGACTATATCATATTACGAAGAGTATTAAATACTGTGAGTAGGGCTTGTGGTATGCCACTGCGTGAGCTCGCTAATACTCTAGTTGAGAGACACATAAATTCCTGTACAAAATGGGCAAAGGCCGTACCGTCAGACCCCCTGCACCCCCTTTATTCACATCTGTTCCCTTGTATTTCATCAGATGGGACAAGATGTCAATATAAGAAGTTATATGCTCGAACGACTAAGTACAAAAATTCTACAATACCCTATTTAGCCGGTATTTTATGCGATGGAGACACTGTTAGACGTGAAACATATAAGTTACTATAAATTTAGCAAAGTGAATTGACCCTTACATCGTTAATTTTTCTGTAATTTGATGGTGTCACCCTTTCTATCGTTTAATTATAACTTAGCTATTTTATTTTAGTTGTTATTACTATTATTACTACAATTTTATACTTTATGCATATTTTTCTCCTTATCGCATACTGTAATTGCTGCATAGCTGCTATAACAACGTTTTATTATTATTACTATTATTATGTAATATTTGTTTTTTGTCGTTCTGAGTAAATTAGATGCAATATTTTACTGAATGCTGAAAATTCCTTGTTGTAATAGTAGCAATGTTTTTGAAGTAAAGCAAAAATTATTATTATTAGTAGTAGTGTGGTGAGAGCTGGCTGTTAGTCGAAATTAGTAGACAGTAATTTACGTCAATGCTTATGTCCCCAATATATTGGTCGTGAGAAAAATGAGCACAAAGGCTTTGTGTAGGCAGATACAGTTAACATATCGATGATCTGACATTCAAGAAACAGCCACAAAGAGATGCAAGGTTAACTTTCTGTGAGAAACAACCAATCAGAAGACTGTGTTCGTCTTCTGCTAACAATAATCTATAATACGTACATGAAAATCCATATATATATATATATATATATGTTGATTTCCTTGATAAAAGATCTGTTTCCTGGCCCTTCTCTTCTGTTGTTACAGTAGTATACAAGCTCATCTTTTAACCCAGAGGTCCTGGGTTCAACCCTCAGCACTGGAGTGACAGGTAGGTATGGCTGAAGAGTTCCAACATCTGTGGTGAGATAGCTGTCCAGTACTGCCTGCTGGTTTTCACATTTACTCTCTGACTCAAGCTAGTTCGTGGTGCTATCTTATTGAAATCAATCGAAACCCCGCAAACCACCGTTACTTGAAAATGTATGCAAAAATTATTTTCATGAGATGCATACGCGAAAATCGTAGACTTTTCCGCATACCATAAAAGGTCATCTGTGTAAGTAAATCTAGTCAGCATTGACCTGTAGCTAACTAATGTAGCGAAATTAGCAAATTGATACATTTATAGTATATTCCATTTTTAACCTTATTATAATCATCATTCTTAGGGTTAGTTATGTGTTTAGAGTGGTGGATGGGGGTGGGGGTGGGGGTGTGGAAGAGTGTGTAAGGATGTTTGCAGGAATTTCGGTTAGAGTTATTCATTGTTTAATGTAAGATTAGAAATTTGGCATTGATGTAATGTATACCTCCATAGGTATATAAATAAATATATAACATTTTTATATTACGTCGATGGCTGTATGAGGTGTTAAGGCAAAATTAATTACTCATAATCGCATCAGTATATATTCAGACGACTTCCTAATTTGCCTTTAGTAGCTCTAGTTCCGCTTGCTTTTTTCTGCAATTCTCTATGTATTCCTGATAGGTGTAGCGTCTTTTCTATTGCATGTGTGTATGTGGGTGTTAACTCGTAGGACAGAGATTCAGTGATTAGCCTCTCTCTTTCCCCATCGAACTGTATGACTTTCTAATACTTCTATGATGTGTACTACTGACTAGATTTATCAGTAGTCTACAAACAGATGTTCATCGACAACAACAAAAAAAGTATCATATAGAGGAGAGATAGATTTTACTTCGAAGAGAGGAAATGAATCAGTGTTGTAACAAGAAATGAGACATATGAAAAGAAGACAAAAAAACAAACACAATACGCACCGAAGACCTGTGAAAATGACGATTTTAATATAAGGCGCATATATTGTTTCGTTTCCCTTAATAGAGATATGAAATCGCAAATAAACCTTCTGTCATTAAGTCTCTTGTCTTCTGTTGTTACACACTTCTAAAGCTATCTAAATCTGCTGTGTGATTACATGCAAGTGAATTGAGTCGGAATGGTCAAACTTTGCCCTAGATTATTTGACTTCCAAGGGTCAGTGTTCGTATAATCTAACTGACCTGGAGATCTAGTAGTTTGACCAGTGTAATTGACCTTCCAGTCATTATATGATATTTGATAAAGTTTATTATCTTTCCTAGTTGAATCTATCTTTCTGAATGGAGACTTTAAAAGCTCTCTAGTACTGATATATGTAAGGAATTAACAACAGGGCCACTACATAGGATTATTAATTAGGTTGAAATTAGGGTGGCATTTTAAACCAACCTACTCACTCAAAGACAGACTTTGAAGCCTTAAGAACCTGATACATTGAAATGAGAAAAGTAATATAATTTAATAAATACCATGTAATGACTGTGAGATCAATTACACAGGGGAAACTAGCACATGGTGATTTATTGGAATATTGCAACCTTGACTGATAGAATACAGTTTGAAGTAAACAGAGGACAAGACACATCACACTACTTGGTGTCCAGTCAGAATATAGAAATCTAACTTAAATGACCCTATCCAGGTAGGTAGTTACCTGAGGTTCCAGTGGGAAGCCGTGACCAGTAGGATGCAGAAGGTCAGGTGTGAAGACAAATACTCGCCGAAGACATTAGTTAGCGGTTGGGCTATATCTTGAATTGGCAGAAGTTATTTTTTTCAATAGTTTTGATTACAGCTTGATTCCACACTGTATTTTCGTACTCATATGGAATTTTCAGCATGGAAATCGGCAGTCCAAAGTTTGCAGGCCGACCATAGATATCAGGGTGAGTCAGCAGGAGATCGAACCTCGGACCATATGCATGGTTGGCGAGAGTCCTAACCACTGTGCCACCGACGCACAAGTTAGAATTCATGGACTGGCCATTGGATCGGGTCCCAGTGGCTTAATGGTATACAAGCTCGCTTTTTAACCAGAAGGTCCTGGGTTCGAATCCCGGTAGGTGCGTACTGCTGAAGAGTCCCAACTAGGACGAAACAGCAATCCAGCACTCCCATGTTTTCCAATGATTCTCTAACTAATGACAGCTCATGATGAAATCCTACAAACAATCAGCCAAATCCCTACAAACGAATAGTTGAGAATTAAATGAAAAAGTTGACCCTGTTAAGGTTAAGTAATCTAAAGGAGTCCTCAATCACTGCAATCCGTCTATTTGAACGTCAAGTCAGTCAGTTCTTCTATACGGATCAGAAACTTGGCGAGCGGGTCACAAAGAATATTTCCAACAGGTTTCAGACCTTTATAAATAACTAACTGTCTTCGCTGGCTGTATACTGAAGATCAGATGGCCGGGCCGGAAAGAATCACCAACAAGAAACTCTGACTGGGAACAAACAAAACAAGAACAAACCGATCGCCCAACAGCAGCAAATATGCAGAAGAAAGTGGAGATGGATTGGACACTCGCGGCTGAGGAGGCCGCCGCTGGGTGACATCGCGCGCGCGTCAGGTCATTGCTCGAGTGGAACCAGACCGAAAGGGAAGCACGCGGCGAGTGGGACGTCACTGCAAGAGTGACATGGAGGAGGAGATCATGTGAAGAGGAGTTGATTGCAACACAGTATGGACTAACTAACATGGATGATGTAGGTGAAAAGTACAGCAGAAGACAGAAGCAAGTGGTAAGTGGAGACGTGCAATTGAAGCTCTATATTCCACTAGGAACGCAAGGGAACAATAATAATAAAACACTTAAAAACATAATATGTTATCATCTTTGTAGGAACTTAGTAATAATATTAATAATAATAATAATGGTCAAAAGATTTGGATAAGCCTTCGGAGCTCAAAAACTCACCTAGTTCACCTTGACGAACATCGAATCTTGTTGCACCACCAGTAATAAACTCGGGATTTGAACATATTTCCTGGGAGAAAAAAACAAAACACGGAAAAACAGTATACATTAAACTCTATGACATAATTATACAAATTGAAATTCATTGTACTAATTCATTGTATATTTGTGTTATGAAATAATCACTCACACTACTTGGCTAATGAAACCTCACATAGTCAAACGAAACTCAAGCATATGGCTCAGTAATTGGCACCACTTTGAATGGACACCAGGTGGTAACTAATGCAAAGCTTCAAGCTCTCGGTGTTGGTGCGGACTGAGTTCTATCAGCCAGGTTTTCATTGTAGCCACTATTCCAGGTGATTCGCCACCACAGTACACTCTGAATTTGAATAAAGCGAGAACAACAACGGTTTGTGCAGAATGACATGGTACCAGCATTTATTTCGTTGGCTTCTCATCACCTGCTTACAGCCTAAATAAATTTCGAGGTTTAAGTACAGAAATGTTTTAACATACTTGTAAATTTTACATGTTGTCAGGTGACAGAAATTTCCACAATTAGTAAACAGTGCTCAGAAGATTGCGCTTATATAGTTTTTACACAGGCAGTTCAAGTTAAAACAAAATAAATGTATGCATATATATACACTCTGAATTGTCAACATTAGATCGTTAGAGGAGATTAGAAGGAAGATTTGCCTGACATGGCTTTCGTGCTAGCTGACACTCACTAGTCAACAAGGTGTATCTGCAATCTTGAAGGGAATCGTATCCGTTCTGAGATTCTAACCCAGTGTCACTCAGTGTCACCTGCAGTCAGAGACGTTATCATTGAACTAGTCTGACTAACGACTGCTCTTTTTTTAGGACCATAATGGATAGTTCAGTTGAACACTGAAAAACAACTACAATTCTCTAAAGAATAATAATCAGGTTTGTTAGTGCTAACAACAGAGTCCAGTCTGTGCGTTTCGTCTTAGTTAGGACTCGTCAGTCGGATGCGCGAACTAGATTCCACTGCTGACCACTGTCAGTCAAGTAAGATCATGTCGACCTTTAGATATTGTTGAAGAGTTCCTACTAGGAGCTGACGTGATAGCAGACACTGAACACTTCCATCCAATATCAATTAAGCAGCGGAAAATACAAAACACACTTATCAAGTATTGAAATGCAAAAATACCTGAGCAAATCATACCTCTACTGACAATCTTCGTAGTGTTTAATCGTGCAAAATATAGCTGATTATTTGTTATTGTCTTACGCAGGAAGCAATCACACCCTATCTAACCTGCAACATTGCATAAAATAGGTAAGTAAGAATTTCTTAGTTAGATTACTAGCGTGTATATTTAAAATGCTTAAAATCCTCCCATAGTCAAGTCTCGGATTTCTACTCACAGAGCTTCTGTTATCAACGTAGACTTCATTTTCACCTATTAACACAACTGCTACAAACGTCTGATAGTTTTCCACCTGAATTTCAGTAATTATCACGGCATTACCCTAAATGTTCCTAAATCATACCCTTAGAATCACTTCACTTCAAAACTGTCAACTGTGGTTAGGACACTTTAGAGGACATATGAAAAAAAGTCGAAAAGCCAAGAGTGGACTTCTCCTCTTTGGAGTACTAGTTCCCGTCACTTACTGACTTAATGGAGGCAGAAACTTTTGAAAGCAACTTCAAAACGTAGTGTTATCTGCCATCTCTAAGTGACTTGTTCAAGAATGAATAAGACCAAGCACCGGTACTTATTAGGAAAGGGTCAATACACGGTTAAAGGTCTTCTATCCTCAAACGAAAAGCTGAATATGATATATACATTGAGGAGAGAGAGTATCGAATGCCGTATGCTGAAGATTTCAAACTTTTTAAAAATATTCTTTCGGGTTCTAAGTAGTGCATAAAGCTTCAACAGAACACTTTCATTTCATCCTGTCCTCTCTATCTAGCCCCGCGATCGCCCATACACTATCGTCTTCTACAAATCACCCCAAAACGCCTAACTGATCGTTTCCCACTAGGATCCCATTAAAGGACCTGCATGGAATGCGAATTTATCGAACGGTCTCCTAATGTAGCGCATGTTACTCACAAGATCATTGGCAAAAATGTAGAATAGTGAAAAGATGGATTTAATGGCGGGCTAAGAGAAGTATAAAAACCCCATGCTTACGAAACAACATACAAAACACGAAAGAAAGATAAAGAAAATATGTGCAAATTAGGATTCTAACATATGATAAACGCATTTTGCTTAAATATGTACATCAAGTTGCCAATAAATAATTTCGTTGCCAATATACTCTTGTATTCTGCCATTACACTTATAGACTTGGCTTATTTGTTGATCAAAAGGTCCAAAATTGGTTCGCTTCTAGAGTTTCATGTGGCTAATTCTTTCTGACTATCTGATCTTCAGCATACAGCGAAGGCAGCTGTTGATTAAAGTCTACTCCTACTGTTTTCATATCCCTACATTATCTTCGCCTAATGTGTCAGTAGTTCAACGGGGGAATACTTGTCAGTCATGCCCATAGTCGGAAATTAGATTCCATGCTGACTCACTCGTAAACTTTGCCTAGAAAAGACAGATGATTTTCCATAAGGCTATCAGCCCCATCCATTGAAAAAAGAACAAGACCACTACTGCTATGCAGACTTCATAGCCTTAGCTTGAAGGCGTATGTTCAACTAGCACGCAAGGCTATGAAGTGAGATTGACCTGCACGCATGCCATATGTCACCTTCGTTCCGAAAACAATAGTAATAACAAACTTAGAAAAAGTGATGAAGATATTCTGCCTAAGACGTGACATCAAATCAGCTATGAAGTTGATAACCGTCCACCTTCAGCTAAAAACAACTTAAAATTCATTTCAATCTCCACAGTTCAAATTTGACTTAAACTTCATTGAATTTAATTTTCAGATTTTCCCACCAATTGATTGAACCGAGGTGCTCGGTCTCAGATTGACATGTCGGTTTCTTGTGCAGATGATTCGACGATGTCTGAGCATTTAATTGGAATTTATTTGGTGGATAGTAATTAGCAGTGGAATCCAGGATAAGGCGCATTTCGTCCTACTTTGGACACGTCAGCTGAATGTGCCTGCATTTCTCAGTAAGTGATGATGTTCCCACCGAGGCTCGAACCCGGTGGCCATAGTTTCAAATTCCATAGCTTTGTCCACTAGACCACTTGAGCCACAAGAGCCACCTCTTGTGCAACCGGTCATATTAATTATTTAATTTGATTTTCAGATTTTCCCGTCGATTGATTGGACCGAAGTGCTCGGTCTCAGGTTCACACGTAATGGAATGAAAATCTATATTGAATTGATTAATTAGTATGACCCGTTGCACAAGAGGTGGCTCTCGTGGCCCAAATGGTGTAGTGGATAATGCTTTGACGTTTGAAACTACGGTCACTGGGTTTGAGCTTCGGTGGGAACATCATCATTGTCTGCGGAATGCAGGTACATCCAGCTGACGTGTCCAAAGTAGGACGAAATGCGCTTTATCCTGGATCCCACTGATAGTCACCATCCACTAATTAACTTTTTAAACTTTATTTGTTTTTCTTATTCGATAGGAAGTAGTTTGTTTGTATTACTGTGTTATGCATTTCTGATTTTGTTGTTGTTGTTGTTGTTATTGCGGTTTAACAGGTCAGCCAACGTTAATTGGTTACATCGATAAGAAAAACAAAATAAATTGGGTCTTTGTGAGTACAGTTAACAATAGCTACTACAACCAAATGATCGCAAGTCAACCAATTAAATTCTTATGGGTGAAAAGTGGCATTAATACTATAAAAAGTATATTCACAGGAAAAGTGGAACAAAAGGCTTCAAGCTAAAGGCTTAAAGTTTCGGTAGCAATGGTGTCTTATTCTTATTTATTATTATTTTACGGGATGGTGTTGTCAGCTCCACTCTTTATCAGTCTTACTACTAGCTTAGTGAGGTAAAGTAGTGCGTCGGCCAAAGCATCTGGGCATAGCTGAGTCAATAACAATCCAGGAGTTCAAACCCATTCTATGTATTCAAAAGAAATACACCTGATTTTTTGCCTATTCTATGATCATCATAACTGTCTGAATAGTGGCCATCCTTCCATTATCTTTCTTATCCAAATTTCTTGTTTATTTTTTCATATTTCTACGTTGTTTAATCCCTATTTTCGCTAAACAGTCAACTTGTCTGTTCAGAAATCAATATTTGAAATAATAATAATAACAATCGATCATGTTTTAGAAACTAATTTTTATATTTCTATGTTTGCAAGAAGGAATCTTAAAAGCAGAGTAATCATCACAAATTAAAGGAGAAAAGAAAAATATAAAATCAATAACTTCATCCATCTAACGAGTGATTATCAATCATCGCTGAGTAATTATTATTAATCAATAATTAATCGGTTAGTTATATGCTTTTTTCAATTACATATTAATGCAAATATAGGGGCATACAACTTCTGTTTATTTATTTATTCATCCATTCATTATTGTTTCTTCTAAACACAAATCGGTTAAACACTGTTGTGTTTTGATTTATGCCAGGATTTCATCATAAACTGACATCGCATCGGTTAGAGAACCATTGGAATACCAGCAATTTGTACTGGACAGCTTTTTCGTTAGCCGTGTTTTGAGATTATTCAGTGAGTCAGTTATTGAGAACCCAAGATCTTCCAAGATCTTACAAAGCAAGCCACCTGGTAGACTATTATGCTTGCTACTGGAACCCAACTTCTAAAGGCCAGTTCAATTCATCACATAGCGCGACAGTTAGCCAATGTCATCGGTGGTGAGTATTCATCCTTACACACCCAACTTGCTATACCCTAGTGTTCATGAATTTCATTGTTCTTCTAGACAACACCTTCCGCGCTCAATCTTCACTATGAAGTGGACTTATTCGAGTTGTCTGCAGTGAAAGCAACCAGCTCAGAGAAGACAAATAAATTAAAAGTCATCCACCCGAGCTATAAATCTTCTCCATTATTATTTCAACGAATGAATTTAAGGTAAAACTAAATTATTTATTTTCAGGTAT